TAGCAGGAAGCTCTCCACACACTCACCGGACCTGGGCAAGGACTGGGTCTTGGCCAATTGATTTTTAAATATGATAGACATGTTTAAATTTGAAGTCTTTGAAGATTATGGTTTTTGGGGGAACAGAGAGGTGGGCACAGGGCCCACAGAGTAAAACCATTGCTTTTCCCATTGAGTGAAACCAAAGACGGGTGCTTAGAGCCCACCACACAGGAGGAAGCGAACTGTCTGCTCCACCCCCAAGCCTTAGCCCAGAGTGAGAGGTGAGGGGTATAACAGGGCTGGTCACTCCAGCACATGGTTACCCTTATCTCCCAGAGTGGCATGTGTATAAGAAATAAGCAAAGGAAGCTGGGTATAGGGGCTCACACCTGGAATCTCACCTACCTTGAGACTTAGGAGGGTCACAAGTTCTGGGCTGGCCTGAACAACTTAGTGAGATCCTGTCTCAAAAAATAGATCTGGGGAGCAGACTCAGCATTATGTGTCTGAGTTGTTCGTCTGTGTGCCGCTCTGGGCCAAGTCCCACCTCAGCATCATTTAGGGCCAGTGTCTGGGGCCAGAAGTATAGCTCAGGGGCACAGGGCCTGCCTGGCAAGTGCAAGTTTCTGAATTCAATACCCAGTACAAAAAAAAGAAGCCAATGTGTATGCTATTTAAATGGCCCTTTCACAAAGAAGCATAAATACTTTTATTAAACATCACCATGAATTAAGTAAATGAATAAACAACAATTGTGTGGCACAGGGGCTGGGGAGATGGCTTAGTAGAATAAGTGCCTCCCTGGCAAGCGCAAGGGCCTGAGTTCAATTCCCGGTTCTGCAGAAAAAAAAAAAAATGTGTGGCATGGCATGTAAAAGAATCAATAAAGGAATTCAGAGTCCTTTTAGACTGCCCAGTCGCAAGATGCCCTGACCAATGTATGTTTTGAAGTCCTGCTCTCATACTGGATGCAAAATACAGCCCTGCGTAACATGAGCAAGGCTCTGGATTCCATCTTCAGCACCACCGAAGAAAGTGTAGAAATGTATAGGGAGTTGACATGTGTTTATTATTGAAGTTGCAGGGAAAGAAAATGCCTTGCCACCCTGTGTTGAATCAAGAGCCTGACTTAGAGAAGCCACAGCAATTTATATATCCCATATGGTCCTTCCTGGGGAAAAACGGTGTATCTTGATCGCACTGGGGTCTTGCAGCCTGGAAAACTGCTTACTGTTAATCTTCAGGCAAGTGGGTAAGCCAGTCGGCCAAAGGCCGGCAGGTGGAGCCAGAGGAGGCAGCTCTTTCTCATGTGCCAGCGTGTTCCTGTTTGTTTTGCTTACAGACATGCTAGATGGAGATTCTCTGGACAGAGCCTCTGGGAGGCAGGCCTCAGTGGGAAATGCAGGCGTTCTACAGTGGTTTCTCCTAGTGAGGACTGACCTTTCCTGATCAAATGGACCACAGGACCAGGATGGTGGTTTTGATTCACTCGTGTTGTGTGAAAGGGGGCCACTGTTCCTACCCCACGCTGATGATAACTGAGTGCCCCGCGCAGCTGGTGTGCGCCACGCTAAGCCCTTTCCGCTCAGTGATGGCCACCATCTGAGCAGCAGCGCTGTGGATGAGTGCTGTTGCTCCTGCGTTGCTGTAGGACGCTCTGTCCTGGATGATGGAAGGCAGCCTCCATCTCCTACTCTCCAAGCCAATGATCAGTTGATTATTTCAGCCATTTCCGGGCTGGGGAGATAGCTTGGCAGTCTAAGCCCCCTGCCTGGCAAGCGCAAGGACCCAGGTTCGATCCCCGGTACCATGTGCCATGCCAGCCCTGCACTCCACCGAGCCAGCCACTGAAACCAGGCATGGTGGCACACACCTGTAGTCCTAGTGCTGGGGAGTCTGAGACACGAGGATCACTATGAGTCTGAGCTATATAGTGAGACTCTGTACCAAGTAAACAAATAAAAAAATGGAATGATAATAATACCAGCTCCAAAACCCAAACTGAGAACATGGCCCTGGTTTAGATACTCACGTCATTCAGAAGAAAAGCTCAACGCTGAAAAGAGGTACAGAGTTGCCAGATCCTTGCCTGTTGTCCTGACTTGACTGAAAACCTCCTGCTCCACTGTTCCCTGAACGATAGGAGTCCTCATCGGCCTTTCCTGTCTTCCTTTGGTTTGTGTGTCTGAGCACTATCTGACTGTCCGCATGGCCCTCGCCCGAGGGAAGCACAGCGTTCTTGGATGAAACTGCTTTACGGCGAGCAGGGCGAGCGGGCCAGAGCTCTTCAGAGGCAGCCGGAGGCTTGCCTGCTGACCGCTGCTGCTTTCGCGCTCACCCTGGTGGGGCCGGTAACCCTTGGCCTGTGCCGTGAGCAGGTTCGTGGCATGGAGGCGAGCTGCGTTGGAAGAAGGTACTTTTCAGAGGAAGACTTCCCTACCTGACTCCTGTGCCACCATCCTGAGGGTTTTTCTCCAGTGGCAAAAAGCTTCTACTGCTTTTGTCATAACTCACATCGGGCCATACGGTGCTGCTTCACTGCAGGGCGTCACCTGCTCTAAAGGGTTTATAGTAGCTCATCTTTAGTTTATGCTTTAAAAATGATCCCCTCAAAGGGCTGGTGTGGGGGCTGTATTTAATGTTTACTAATGACACCATTCCGTTGAGGGAGGTGAAGGATTCAAAAGGTGCATGCTGGTATTGTTTGCACAGCAGTGTGAATTTACCTCGTGCCACAGAACACGCCTTCCAGAATGGTTGCAGGGACTCAACTTGGGGCCTGAGCACTGGCTTAGCACACATGATACCCTGACTCGCGTCTCCAGCCCCAGCATCTTCCACCAAAAAAGTTTTAAGTGGCAAATTCTTTTAGCTGGGAGCCGGGGAGATAGCTCAGTAGAATAAGCATAAGCACTTGCCTGGCAAGCGCAAGGGCCTGAGTACAAACCCCTGTTCCGAAAAAAAAAAAAAAAAAAAAAAATTCTGTGAGCCATTTATGTGTATCTTGGTGAAAATGAAGTCAATAGGTTTTATTACATGAGTTTTAGGTTCCACTGACATCTGTGTGTATATCTCTGTCTGTCTGTCTGTCTGTCTGTCTGTCTGTCTGTCTGTCTGTGTCTTTCTGAAACAGGGTCTTGCTATGCAATTTAGGTTGGCCTTGAGCTCACTTTGTAGTCCAGGCTGGTCTCGAAGTCACAGTGATCCTCCTGCCTCAGCCTCTTGAGTGCTGGGATCACAGGTGTGCACCACTACGCATGGCTTCCACTGGCATCTCTTGATGGGTCCTAATTTTTAATTAAGTCGATGAAGAGGGCATTTTTGAGAAATGGGATTCAGTACCATACATGAGACACAACAGCTTCTCCATCTTTCGGTCTTAACACGGAAGCTTTCAGGGGCCAAAGCCCAGGACATCGAATAGGCCCTGCGCGTGCATAGAGGGACAGTGCACAGTGTAATTGTGCTCTGACAGGGCAGTAACTGAATGAAAGAGGTTGTGTATTTTATTTTCTTATATATTTGTATACTGTATAGAATTTTATTTGTTTATCAAGTGTTAATAGTTTACCCAGCGTCCTTCTGCTTCTGCTGGTCTTACATAGATCCTTTACTATTTGATGGTGGGAAAATGAACCTCATGAACAGGTGCAGTAACACGCTTCTGTGGTGCGAGCTGTGGGAGGTTGAGGCAGGAGCATCAGGCTGGGCTGTAACTTCGCCTTCCCTGGGTTCAGTGCCCATTACTGCAAAAACAAAAACACATTCATCCAGCTGTGCAGGATTACATGCAAGAGGCGTGTGAGGCTGCTGGCCCCACACAGACTATGCTAATGAGTGTTTCCATGTTGCCCCACTTCCCTGCAGCAGGAGCTCATCGACAGCATTAGCCGCAAGCTGCAGGTGCTCCGGGAAGCCCGAGAAAGCCTGCTCGAGGACATCCAGGCCAACAACGCGTTGGGGGACGAGGTGGAGGCTGTCGCGAAAGACGTCTGCAAACCCAATGAGTTCGACAAGTTCCGGATGTTCATCGGGGACTTGGACAAAGTGGTGAACCTGCTACTGTCACTGTCAGGCCGCCTGGCCCGGGTGGAAAACGCCCTCAATAACTTAGAGGACAGCCCTTCTCCTGGCGATCGGGTATACACACACACACATCTGTTGCCAATGGGTGGGCCAGGTGGGCTGTCCTCAGAGTGCTGGGAGAACAGGCTCCGTACAGGGCCAGGGCCATGTGCAAAGCTGGTGCCCATGACCACTTTTTTTAAGGGTGGGCCAGTAGATGCTGCAAAGGTTCCATGAGTTTAGCCATAGCCTTTGGGCCCAGCACTGCTGGGATCTCCATTCTTTAGATGCTTTTCAGATCTTCCCCTTGGTCTTTACTCTCAAGGACTTCTTCCTAGAGTGCAGGCTTTCTTTTAACTTTACCATGTGTTAACCTTTGCCTGAGCTCATCCCCCGCCAAAAAACCAGAAGTACTCAGTGGTAGACAACACCTTAATACTGTTGCCTCTGTGATTTAACACGAGTGAGTCTAGCAGTCTAGACAGTGTCACAAGGTTTGCCTGACTTTGCCCCAACTCCTGCAGTGATATCCCTTAGAAGGTCTGTTTCACTTTGGTTATATACAAAATAAGGGAAATACTTTCTTCCTTGTTGGCTTTAGCTCCTAGGTCAAATACTATTGGTAAAGCACCTTGTTCTGATCATACATGCAGTAGGCCTTGCAAATGGTTGTTTATTATTGCTGAAACACAGATGCGCATGTGCACAAATGCACACAGGCATAAATGCACCCACACACAGTCTGTCTTCTGTGCAGCTGCCAGACATTGGTGACTCTGGCTGATTTTTTTGTGAACTGCACTGCTTTTCCAGAATTGGACAACATCTTACTTCACTTTCCCTTGGAGGAAGTTGGCCTGCCTGAGCCTCTTCCAGTGACAATATGTGATGTTTTTGTTTTACTCGCACTGAGGACCAAGGCCTTCCTCAGAAGCAAGCTGGAAGTTGCGGCGTGTTGAGGGCACTCACCCTTTCTGGCCACTGCTCCGTGGCCATGATACTAGTTCTGCCTTGCCGAGTCCCTTCTGGGACTGGTGTGTTGCAGCACGCTGTGAGGCCTCGTAGCACCCCTGTGGTTGTGGAGCGGCTGCCCTGGTGCTCAGCCACAGGTCTGGACCCTGGCTTCCAGGGGGAGCACACTGGCAGAGCATGGGCTTCCGCTCGCATGTGCGAGGCCCCACAGCAGAGAGAGAAACCTGACCTAAGGAGATGAATGCCTGGTGCCTTCCAGCCTAAGCATGAGGACACTGCGCCCATCCCTTCCCTTCCGAGTTTTCCTTCAACTTGGATTAAATAGGAGAGCAAGGTGCATGTTCTGTGAGAAGAGAGTGTTGGTTTCCCATGTTGGGAGCAGGGTTGTCTGTGGTCTGCAGCGCAACCACTCACCATCCTGGCCCCTGTCTTGCTTTTTCCTATGTCCTCCTCTCTGCACCTACACATTCTCTTGTCAGGATGTTGAGACATCCTGGCCTGGAATTGCATTATCTTCCCTTCTCACGAACCTTCCCACAGCATTGTTGTAGAAATGGCTTTGATGCAAACAGTGTCTGCAAGTCCTTTTCCCGTCTGAGCCCCCCCCCCCCCGATTCTGTGCCTTCTGGTCCCCTGATCATTTTTACTGTTCACCACAATCGCTGTTACTTGTTTAAGGCAGTTGGGAGAAAATGAGGCCAGGACAATGGGAAAGAGCCCAGGCGGTCCGCTCAGGGCTTCCCGGAGGGCTGGGCAGGAGCCTCTGGCAGTCACACAGCACATGCCATCTGTACCCCTGGCATTTCTGTGTGAGTCCCATCCTGTTTCTGATGACATGGGGATCCCCAAGGGCCATCTGATGGACCATCTGTGGTCCCAAGGACCGCCCCTCATAGGGGTGGGAGAAACAGGGCTTCTGCCTTAGTTCTGGTCACCAACAGGCTCCCGTCTGTCTCTCCACAGCAGTCCTTGCTGGAGAAGCAGAGAGTCCTCATCCAGCAGCACGAGGATGCCAAGGAGCTCAAAGAGAACCTGGACCGCCGCGAACGCATTGTGTTCGACATCCTGGCCGCCTACCTCAGCGAGGAGAGCCTGGCAGACTATGAGCACTTCGTGAAGATGAAGTCGGCACTCATCATTGAGCAGCGGGAACTGGAGGACAAAATCCACCTGGGCGAAGAGCAGCTAAAATGCCTGCTTGATAGCCTGCAGCCCGAAAGAGGCAAGTAAGGGGCTGGTCAGCCTGGCAGAGGACAACTGTGGCCTTCGAGCTCTGTCCCCATGCCTGTGAGCTCTAGGCTGCGCTGGTCTCCTGGAGAGAGTCGCGTCCCAGGGCACAATGACATCATGCTGGCTTGGGATCACTTCCTCAACCTTTTAGTTTCCCGTTGGAACAGAGCAGTTTCCCTCACACATGACTACATGAGATGCCAGGCTGGTGACGTCCCTAGGATCCATTAGGCTGAGGCCGTGGGATATACAGACTGTCACCGTCAATGGAGGAGCTGCTGTTCCTCTGCCTTCTGATGCCATACCAGCCACATGGGAAGACACCAAGGACATTCTCGGGACACAGGAGAGGGGATGCCTGGAACATACATGTTCCCTCGGGTTGTAACCGGAGATGGGCTGCTGGGTTTTGTCCTTACCAGGCCCAGTGTGCTTGTCCATTGTCTCTGCCCTATAATCATGTTCCCTGACCCAGCAAAATCCTGATATGATAATTTATTAACATGTAGGAAAGGTGAATGGTTTCCTAACAGTTGAAAACCATCTGGGAAATGGACAACCTATAGACTGGGTACACTCACTCTTAAGATTAAAAGTGCCACTTCAAGAAATGATATGCATGCTTCAGAACTCAAACACGTGACAGACACACCACTGTGGTCCTTCTCACCTGGAATCAGGAGGTAAATGGTGATATCCATGCAAGTAGGAGTACTTCGCTATGTGTGTCCAGTACTAATGTGCTTGTTCGCTATTTATTTCCTGAGACCAGTGGAATCGTTTTTAGTTGCTTTCCCCCAGGACATTAATGTGGTGCACATACGGTCATTCATGATCACTGGTTTTTGTGGCTTTTTGTTTTGTTTTGTTTTGTTTTTCTGTTTTGCCACCAAGTTGGTCCCCAATCCCTGAGGGCCACATTCCATGTACTGTGAGAACTTTCCTTTGCCTTTTCAGGGGCCCTGTGCACGATCTTAACTCTTAAACTTGACCTTTTTCTGCTGCAGAGTTTAAAGATTCTGTACCTCTTTTGGGGGTGGAAATGGCAGGAGTGTAAGGAGAGACTTTAAAAGTAACACCATTGTGCTGCTGTGCCACCCGTTGGCAGTCAGAGACTGAGAGCAAGGGTTTGCAGATAGTGTGTCTGAAGAAGGATTGGTGGCCAAAACATACGAAGACCTCCACCGGCAGGAAAATGAAGAGCCCTGTTAGAACAGACTTGAGCAGACAGTTCACCAAAGAGGATATGCGCATGGCAAATGAGCACAGACCACAGCGTCCAGCTGCCGATGACTTGCTGATTTTTACCTGATAATTGTAGGTCACGTGTAGTGATGAAAGCATTCATCTAACTAGAAGCCATAGTTAATGGTGAGCCAGCCCTTTAGATAACTGGATATTTAGGTCATATTTTTTCCTCACTTCTCCTTAATCCCATAATGTGTAGAAGCAAACAGGTTTCCCCTTGGTTAGCAATAACCACAGCATTCCTGAAAAACACATCTTTACTTGCGCGCGCGCACACACACACACACACACACACACACACACAGAAATGCACTCAGATTTCCCAAGCTCAACACAGAGGCGCCGTTGGGGTATGAAGGCTTTTCCTACAGCCGAGTCCCATCAGGCAGGCATTGGCCCTACAGGCACTAACATGCCCCCGGCAGTCTCCCAGGACAAAAGGACGAGTGCCCTTTCAGAGGAGTTAATTCCATGTCCAGTGCGCTGTCCTTTCCACCCAGTAGCCCCTTGCTGGGGCCACCTGCCACGGGCTGTCCACAGACCTCACAAATAGCTTGATTACTTTGTTTATAATTTAGTCAAATTTTTTGACCCATGATTCTTTCTCCTTGAATCAAGTATTGTGGTCATTTTAATAATATACACACGTAAAATGTGAATAATCAAATCTGTGTGTCTGTTCCCAGCCTGTACATGTCTTTTCTGGATTCTGTCTTCTATGTAGCAGTATATAGGGCTTTGGTGTCCTTCTTGCCAAATGCACATCGTCACAACCTTCCCTTCTGGTTTTCTGTTTGCTCCTGTAATGTCTGGTCCAGTGGTCTCCATGTACATAACTTGGTACATAGATGTATCATTGCTGTAAAAACAAATACGGTGCTACCAGTTGGCCCTGGGCATTCAGAGGTGGTGGTTGATTCCTGCGCCTATTGTAGCAAATCTGTGGAAGTCTGCAGAGTGGGCTTTCTCTCACTTGGGATATGTGCGACAAGTATCCTTCAGCATATTGTTTTAATTGTGTATATTGCTTGACACATTCCACTTACTGATCAACAGAGTATCCTGCTTGATTTTAACAAAATAAATACTGTATCTTCAAGTGAAAGCAGTGGATCTTTGATTTACCCACATTACAGCATTTTTTAAGGAAATCAAAATAATAGGGCTGCAAGTAGCTCAGTGGTGGACCATATGAATGCAAGGCCCTAGGATCTGTACCTAACACACACACACACACACACACACACACACACACACACACACAGAGGCAAAGAAATTTCAAGGTATTTCCTGAATGTGTCAGATCTTTAAACCATTTTGAGTAAGCTGTAATATTGATTATCTGCTCATAATTTGCAAGGAGGTATAAGGTCAGTCAACTTGTAGTTATAACCAAGTTAGCTGTTGTCTCAATAATGTTGTGTAACAGAAAGCTACACCCTCACAGCAGTGTGCAGTGTTACTTGGCCGCTGAGTCTACACATCAGTGGATGATCCAGGCAGGGGTGTGGGCCACGTGCCCTTCTGGAGCCCCAGTCTAGATGGGTCATGGGCCTAGTGGGCAGCAGAGAACAGGCCCAGGCATAGAGCTATGTCCTGGCTTTGGTCATTTCAGAGCTGCTAACCGTCCATGGCCAAAGCACAGCACAGGGACAAACCCAGAGACCTAGAGAGTGGAGCAGGCTCCACAGGCTCAGTGGAGCGAACTGTGGAGACAGGGCTGGGACTGGATACAAGGAGGTGTAAGATGAGGGTAGTTCTTGGGTTCCATGTGACACTGTAGTGTCTAATACAGAAGGGCACTCAGGGCTCCAATCCACAAAGCCAACTTGCCTGATACAAAGCCACGTCCATCACTCCTAGCTGAGGCACATGTCCTCTTCTGTCACTGCGGATGCCTGCTATGTGGTGAGTGTGTGATTGTGATGGAAGCCAGGTTTGGGTCACAGAAGTGCTGTACTTGCTGTGATCAGAGTACCTCTTCGTGTCTGCAGGGGACAGGCTCCTGGACTGCAGTGCATACTGCGACCACAGAGAGGGGTAGAAAAATGGAAGGGAGTACCTGTGTTCAGCTATTATTTCTGATTTAAAAGTAGCAATATTCTAGAAAAAGAGGCAGGGGCCGGGGAGATGGCTCAGTAGAATAAGCACTTCCCCAGGAAGTGCGAGGGCCTGAGTTCAACCCCCAGTTCTGCCAAAAAGAAAAAGAGGCAAACATTTTGCAGGACAGTTAAGAATCCATGCAATTGTTGCATTTGCACTCTATATAAGCACACAAAGTGAACTGTTTACATAATATTATTTTTTTCTATTACATTTAGAAAGGCACAAGTCTGAAATGCATGGGTCTCACCACGCTGAGGTCTAGGCATGCACAGAGCATGCTGGGCTCCCCTTGCTCAGGGCCTGAAACAGAACCCATTTCCTCCCTCCCAGCTGCCCATCCTTGTCTCCTGCTTCTTCCCCCACCCCTCATCCTGCCCATGTTTTCCCCATGGGCACCTTCATGCAAGTGTGACTCGAGGCCCAACTAGGAAGGGTCACATCCCCTGAACCACACAACATTTGTGTGCTGGCCATCAGTGGCCTCTCTCCAGGAAATCCCTCCAGGTTCATGCCACTTCTAATGTTCGCGTTTGTACACTTCCACTGCCTTTTCACAACTGTCCTCACCTGCACATGATGTGGGCGAGACACTTTCTGAGGGGAAAGAAAGGAATTGGTCTCGTACATCTTGATGGCCCGTACATGAATATACTGTCTCCAAAGGCTGCCAGAGAGTCAGAGTACAGTGTTGGGGACAAGGTGAAAAATAGATGAGATGTGATTGACCTGGTGAGCTGGCAGCTCAGAACTTGGCAGGTGGGATGGGGGTGGGGTGGAATGCGGTGACCATGGAAACTGCAGGAGAAGGGCTTGGCCCCTAGAGGCAGGCCTACCCTGAAGGTGAGAGCTCCTGGCTTCTGGAGCAAGACACCAGTGTGAGGAGCCGGTGAGGATCAGCAAGGATCTGTGTGCGCCAGCCCTGTGGACCAGGTGAGCAGGCGCTCATCCTGTCCTGTCGCCAGGTCCTGGAAGATACCATGCTGGTTAGTGAGGGCCTTGCCCTTCCTGCTTATATATTTTTATTGTAGTAAAAGACTCACAACCTACAATTTCTTGGTGAACAGTTCAGTGGCACTGTGTGTTCATGTGGCTGTGTGATTATCATCGGCATCCTTTTCCAGACCTTCTTACCCTCCCATGGGAAACAAGGGCTCCGCACGTGGCCTCCTTCCTTCCTGTCCCCAGGCCATGGGCACCACCTCGTCTGTCACTATATGCGTAAGTTGACTATCTAGGGACCCTGTGAAGGGAATCACACAGGACTGGACCTTTTCTACTTGGCCTCTTTCACTTAGTGTTATGTCCTCTTGGTTAGGTACAGCCTTGGACAAAGAGGCTGTTCATCCCATCTGTGTCCCTATTCCTTGTCCACATCCCAGAAGTGACAATGTTTACTATCTACATATAGACACTTTATATCTTGTGTGTTTTTACATAAACTTGTCATATATTCTTTCCCTAATTTTCACAGGCATTTCTACACACTGTTCTCCAACTGGTAATTTACCAAGCACAGTGTTTAGAACAGCTTTCTTCGAAAGATATTTCTGTCCATCCACCATCCCTGTGCCTCAAATTCTCTCTAAGTCTATGCGTCTTCCAGTTTCTTCTTTGCTCTGTCCACTCCCCTAATTTCTTTCTTTCTTTCTTTTTTTTTTTTTTTTTGATTAATTTTATTGAGAAACAAACAGCAATGAGACAGTTTCAAAACAGGTTAGTACGACAGTTATAATAATTAATACATTGCATATTGTTGTCTTCATAGTAGTTATTCACAGTACAAGATTCTCATAGTAGTTATTCCAGTACAAGATCCAGGCATGATCTCTTGTCTAAGCACTATTAGTACAAATCTTTCTTCTCAATGAATTAAGAGATAGTAGCTGTATATCTATTTTAACTAGTTTGTATATACAGATACGTATTTTTTTTCACTACAAAATGGTCCTTCATTTATATCCCCCCTTGCCTGGTTAGTACGTGGAAGGGATATTACATTTAATACATCTAAATATATATGCATAAATGTGTATTTTTTATATAGTTATATTTCAGTAATGGCAATATATAAAGTATGTCAGACCTTAGGCACATAGTTTTATAGCTATGTTCTCTTTACTTGACTCATTTCAAGAAAATTCCTGTGCCATTAGATCTCTATCAAGCAGATGTACATAGAAACTCTAAAACTGCACTCTTGAATAATTTGTACTTTTAACCAGTGATTCTATTAAACACATAATGGAAAAATAGAGTCGTATATTATCTTGTAAATATCTCATAGTACATATGTTGTTAAAATCATTGACCTGACTATCAAATAAGCTATTTATGCTCCCCTAATTTCTGTTTCTCTCTATTATGAGTTTTTATGTGTACCATTGTTCCTGTCTCTGTGGATCTTCCTGTCTCCCTCCTCCTTTCAGATCTTTCCATGCACATTCCCAAGCATGAAAACAGACATGCAGATTCTTTCCTATTTACCAAGTGACCATCAAGTGCATGATGTGCTGTCACTCCCTATGGCTTCGAGTAACCATTCTCTCACCGTCCCTGTGAACATATGTGCTGCCACACACCTGTGCATACAAATGTATTTATAGATATGCATGAATATGTGCTTGTGAGTGAATGTCTGAGTGCTCGCTGTTCTTACACATGCTCGTCTCCTTTCTCTATCCCACTTCTGCCCCATCCAGGAAACTGCTTGCAGCCTGGCCATCCTGAGCAAACCATGCTGAGGTTCTCAGGCTTTGCTACAGACCTCAACATACAAGGAGCCAAAGAAACTTTTAAAAGGATGAAAAACTCCCAGGTCTTCATTTATATTGAAATAAAGCTATATTTTTTAAATTTATGAGTTCCTCACTTATAGTACCATATTCTCTACAGCCCAGTGAGCCTCTCTGCCCCTCACGAGTTGGGGTGTTATTTTCACCACTCCCATGATAATTAGCCCTCACTCTTTTACACCTCCCTTCTTCCTTACGCTCAGGAGCCCTGTGTCAGAGAAATGTCTTCCTCTGTGGGGTTTTGGCAGGAGGATGGGTAGGGCTGCCATGTAGGCACCGAAGAGAGGAGGGAGCACACAGGGACTTCTCTCCTAGGCTGGGACAACATCTATGGTGCCTTTCCCTAGACATGGAGTCCACAATCCCAAACGCACCCAGCCTGTGATGCCCTGGG